ATCATTTCCTGTCGACCGGAATTACTCTACTCTTCCCTAACCGTAACTAAAATCGACCGACTACATTCGTGTTTCCCAATCAACTTGCGAAAGACCTACCCGTTCTGGAGCAAAGCAGCGAAATGTGTACGTTTTACCGATAGCGCATTGGAAATCGTCGGTGAAATTGCGTGTCACGAAAGTACAGTCATTACTGCAGAAAAGAGAAGACGCGCGAGTCCTGATGAGGCTTTCGAATGGCTAGTAATTCGGGAGTTTCACCGTCGCAATCTTATCGATTACCGTCTAATCCAGATTCGATTCTCGAATAGGGTCCATTGAAGAAATTAGAAATCCCATTGCATCCCTCGATTTATCAATGAATTGTTAGACCGGTGTCACGTTTGGTCATTAAACCATTGCACTACGGCTATTTCTTCAACGGCTACGTTGATTAACTTCGTTTGTCATTAATAAATTCCTACGCGAGACAGATAATTCATATTTATTGCGTGCCAACTGTTTCTTCTATGCTTAAGTATTAACAATATAACGGTAGAATCTAATTCCGACTTAACCAGTTAGCTGTTGCAACTATTTTGAAAAATGTGTACTTAAAGTATGTTGCAAAAAGTAAGCGATGGAGACATAATTAATTATTTATTTATATTCTATTATTCTATTATATTATTTATTTATATACGTTATTAATTTATATTCTTTCATTTGTTCTTTTTGCTTCGTCTCGGCCTCGAAATATTCGGAAAATCTTAAAATTTACGAATTTACATTTTAACCCTCTGCACTCGAAGCCATTTCAACTGTAAATCTAAACTAACTTCTCCGACTTATAATATTTCCATTTTATACGACAAAGTACGTTTCATGGATATGAAATTGAGTCGTGTGACTCATACGACAGTTAGACTTTCAACAAGCTTCGATAATATAAATATTATCTTGGAACGTGATGTTACAATTTTAGTGGTGCCTCAGAGTTACCACTCCAGTGCAAAGGGTTAATTTTCACTAAAACTGCAATTTGAACAGCAAATTTTTACGCGGAAAAACAGCTAACTGAGTTTAACCCTTTGCGGACGAGTGTCGGCAAATAGCCGCCTTAGTCTTTTTACCGTTTTTTCTTTTTATTAATTTATTAATTATTAGCACTATGCCGTCCGCAGATCTTAGATATGATTCTTTTGTTTGACGCCGGCATAATAGCTTGGAAATCTTAGATTTTAAAAAGAATTTCGAAGATGGCGGTAATAGAAATTCCTAAAATTAAGATAAGTCATCCAAGAATTTTCGTACTTAATTCTTAGTTAAATAAGCACAATGCTACAGTTAGTTCGCTGCCTTTTAACACCCAAGAAATATAATTCAAATATTATTTCAGTTTTTCAAAATGGCACCAAAGTGGTACCACCGGCATACAACAGATAGTTTTTGCATGGAACCAGCGTGGTGCCACCGGCCGGCATAGTGTTAATATAAATTTATTAATTTAACCGTAGGTTCAGAACGAATTTCAGTTTGACGAGTCAGTCTTTCTGTGTCACTACCAGAGAAACCAGCAAAGCTTTCCACATATTTATATTCTTATAACAATATAATTATATCTTATAACATTTTTAATTTATATCCTATATTATATATTTTATAACCTGTCGTCCACAGCGACGCAATACCCGTCGAACTTCGCTTCGTCCGCAAAGGGTTAAAGACGCGAATAACATTCATACTCGGCAGAGAACATTTTCAAAATCTTCTAGGCGAGCCAGACACGATATTTTCGTGTGTTTTCACGTAAATTAACGAGAATAGATTTATTCGAATACATTCAGAATCAGTTCAATTTTAACCACTTATGGTATCGTGAAATCATCGATGCCTTTCTCTGAACCCGTAATACCCGAAAGTGACAAACTTTCCAATGCAACATTTGAAAAAAGGTTAAAATTAAAAAGGAATATGAAAGAAACATATCGGTAAACTATGGAAAAAAACGCTGTATATTCTATTATTTATATTCAAACCGTGAATAACATTATTTAAAGACGCGAATAACATTCATACTCGGCAGAGAACATCTTCAAAATCTTCAAGACGAGCCAGAGACACGATATTATAGGCTAAGTGATTTAAAACCCTGTTACTGCCGAAAATCAAAATTGCGTTAGGAAACAACGATATGTCGTCGTTCGGCGCTGCAAGGATTAAAGGAAAAGGAAATATGTAATCCTGAAAGTGCAATTCTCCTGATAGAGATACCAGTAAGGTCCAGAAGGTAGTACCACCGAGGGGGCAGTACCGTAGTCGAGATTGAATCGATCGTTCCCGAATTGCGCAACGATGGTAAGACAGGGAAGGGTAGAGTAGGACGGGGTATGGTGGGTTGGAATAGAATAGAATAGGATAGGATAGAATATAATAGGATAGGAGAGGATAGAATAGGATAGGATAGGACAGGAAAGAAAAGAATAGGATAAGGTAGGATAGGATAGGACAGGACAGGAAAGGATATGATAGGATAAGATAAGGATGTCGCTCGAGCTAATTGGTGGGAAAAGCAAAGTTACCCCGGCAGCGGATAATTCCGGGACAGTTTTATTTCTTAGACCAAAAAAACACGTGATTCAAGTTTCTGCGGTACTGCCATTTGTTAATGATCTATCGAAAATTTATAATTTCCGGAAAAATTGCTGTCTTTCGTTTCAAGCAAATCATTGTGTAGAGGAATCTTTCAACTTTCAAATTCACATTTGCCTTTCGTTGTATGTAAATTCGAATCGGTGAATTATCTTTTGAATATCTAATTACGCGATGTGGGTATCACCACCCTAATCGGAAACCGCGATAAGGAAACGAATGAAACTTTGTTTTTATTCAAGCGAGACAAATGCTTCTGAGGAAAACATACCGCAGTATCGGAAAAGGTGACTATATTTGGGATTCGTACAATAATTAATATTGAAACATAAATCACAAAATAGTAAAATGCTTAATTTATTCGGCAGCTTTCATATCTTCTTCGTAACGAAAAATAATTAGTCAGAGTTTACCCCTCCAAAATTAGCCAAAATATTCTTAGATATACGAGGTGCCTCAAAATTATGGTATTTCCGGGAAATGAGAGGTTGCCGAGGTCATTTGAAATAACTTCTTCTTCAGCGAAAATGCAATCCGCGACGCCGTTTACGAGTTATTAACAAAAATCAGTGACCAATGAGAGGCGAGAGGCGGAACTGGTCTTCGTCCGGCTCGGCCGTCTTGCGCCAGCCGAGCTTATCGGAAAAGATGGCTATATTTGGGATTCGTACAATAATTAATATTGAAACATAAATCACAAAATAGTAAAATGCTTAATTTATTCGGCAGCTTTCATATCTTCTTCGTAACGAAAAATAATTAGTCAGAGTTTACCCCTCCAAAGTTGGCCAAAATATTCTTAGATATACGAGGTGCCTCAAAATTATGGTATTTCCGGGAAATGAGAGGTTGCCGAATACAATAGGATAGGAGAGGATAGAATAGGATAGAACAGGATAGGATAGAATAGTATAAGGTAGGATAGAACGGGACAGGAAAGGATAGGATAAGATAAGGGTGTCGCTCGACACGGTAGTTGGATCGGCGGAAAAATCGTAGAAAGGATGGCTGGCGACAAGAAAACAGAGAGGGCACCGACGGCTGCGCGATAAACCTCGCTGGTTGTGCAATACGGAGGAAAACCGGTGGCTGGCGACGGATGGAAAACGACGCTGCGAAGCGAAGGATTACGCGGCCATGTCCGCTCGTTCCTTCGTTTATTCCCATTACGATTGCATCTGCCGGCATTGTACGCCGCGCGGAAAGCGAGCCCGCGTGTGTCTCTTGAGAATCGGAACGCGATTAATATTACTGGCAACGACGCCGAGAAAGACTGGTTGTTGCGTTTCAACGTGGCGCAATAGGCGTAATAGGCTCGAGCTCGCGTGCGCGAGGACGAGGACGAGGACGCGGACGGAAGAACCTTTTCGGAGCTGTACGGAAAACGAAAAATTCCTCGCGGTATTAGCGATTCGAAGCGAATCGCGTAATAAATCGTGCGTTACCGGCTACCGTGAAAGTACTTTCTCGAGCCGTTGATTAACCCCTTAACGCATAGTTTTTTTTTTTAGAAAAAAAACCGGTTAAGAAAAGCAATTTTCTTTTTATGTAAAAAAACACAATTTAGAACATTGTCTTGTCAAAAAAATTAAAATACAAAAATAATCAAAATTTTTATTTCAATTTTGGATTTTGATCCACATTGCAGAGAAGAGCCTAATATTGCAATGTTACACGTGCATCGACTTTTTTATCTTTCTTTTCGAATTGCTATTTCGGAAAAAGCATATTTTTATCGGTAAAAATATTTATTTATACTTTTACAACGTAAATAATAATAATATTAGTATTATACTTATTATATTATTATTATTATTATTATTATTTTACTAGTATAAAAAGGCTATATTTTATTCTTGAATAAATAAGTGTTATAGCTTACAATCCCATGTAAATGATAAATATCAATAAAACGATTTTCTTTCTTTGCTTTCACATTGTTATTCTCAATTCTCGATTATATTCGAGCGTGAAAAATTATGGCAGCATAAAATACAACGCCGCTCGAATTGTCTCGAGTGTGCACAGTTTGTGGCCTGTTTAGCGCGCTCGAATTAACTCGAGCGCACAAGTTAAGGGGTTAATTTGAAGGACGAAACGCGTCTTCTGAAAACGAGATCCGGCAACGCTTTCCCAAATTTCAACGATCATTTGAGAAATTCGACGAAGCCAGAGCGATTCTTTAACGAGTCGAGTCGCCCCTAGTCTTTCACGATCCCGTCGCCCACTCCTCCTCGTCCCAATGCGCGCGTGCTCGCGCGTACTCGCACGTACTCGCGACGCTTTCCTTCGAATCAGACGACGATATAAATAAGATGATAGGAATTGGTTAGACTACGTTGCGAGCAGTATAGAATGCTTCGACTCACCCAGCTGCTTCGAGGCATATTGTTGAAGTAGACGTGTCCTTTTCTTTTCGTAGCCCTTTTGCGTTATGTCCCCTGAAATCAGAGAACAGAGTTAGTCGCTGTTCGGTTTCCACTTCGCTAATTGAGCGGTTTATATTGAAAGTGGCTTAAGTCGCTTTACCGTAATGAAAAGTGGTGATTTTTTAAATGTTTATACGAAATTATTTATACCGAGAAAAATATATCAGTATCCTGAGATAACAAATACAAGTAAATCTTCTCGAAAGTTAGCATCCATATTTTTAAACGTGTTAAAACGCAAACTCTTAAATATATCGACTTAAAAACAAAGTGACTTATGCCACTTTCAAAACAAACGGCTCAATTGTTGGTCACAGTTTTTGTCAGAAATTCAACACTGGCAATTATTGTTTCGTAAAAATATTTATCTACGATAATTATTCAAATGAATTGCTTTCAGTCGAATATTTGCTTCGAGCTAAAGATAAATCATAAAATAGTAAAATTCGTAATTTATTTGACAGCTTTCGTATCTTCTTCGTAACGAGAAATAATTATTCAGAGTTATCCCTTGAAAGTTGATCAAAATATTCTTATATATATATATATATATATATATATATATATATATATATATATTATCCGCTACGAATTGTTCTATCCATTTATATTCGTATAATTCTTTATATTTTATTCGAAGAAATTACTCGAACAGAGATTGTAAAATTATTCAAATAACAATGCCAGCAATTCGCGATCTGTTACGAGAACCCACCGAGTTTTTGTGTCCTCATCACTGTGTCTCTCCTTCTCTCTATAATGATCCTTTAAATAGGATTCTTAGTTTGGCTACCGCTTATGCTAACGACGTTGACGTCTTCACTGAGGATTTTAATGAATTCAAAAATCAGCTATATAATATTATCAATGATATATTTAATTTCGATCTGCGTTGTATATTGGAATCGTATCGTTTTCAGTTTCATTTCTACTATTACTCTATTATCAAAATTATGTTGAATTTTTGTAAAAAAAAAAAAAAAAGAAATATTGACAGCGGCGGATCTGGCCCGTTTATGCTAAATAAATTAAGCAAATTAAATTACAAAGCTTTATCAACCATCGATCGTGGGCGAGCTACCTACCATTGATCGGCAGTACGTACAAAGCAAACGTTCCACCCTCCATGACAGATTCGCGAGCACGATCGCGCGTTTCGGAATGATGCGAAAACGCACGAGTATCGCGGCGAACTGGATTATCTCGCCCTCGAACGCTGCTTAAATAGAATCCGCGAATTTCTCAACGACACCGTTGATTTCCATCAAACGCCGAAAAAGGAGGTCTGTCCCTCTCGACGACTCTCGATAACTCGATAGCTCGAGAGCTCGATTGCTCGCTCGTGTAATTTGCCGCCGCGAACCAAGGAATCCCGAGGACGATCGGTGATCGCGACACCAGCCGTATAGTCTGGAAATCTTCGCCGATTTCGATGACACGCGGGCACGTGCACGACTCGAAAAAGGAGACGACCGGCGACCGGTCGATCGAGACCGACGAAACTCTCGCTGGAAAGTGACTCGCGCCGATCCCGGGAAAATTCTGCCAGCGAGAAATACTGGATTAGCTTGTTACTCGGCTGTTGAACGAGAGGCTAAACGACAGATCGGTCCGAATTGCATTCCCGTTTTTTTTTTTTTTTTTCGAAGCGTCAATGGAACGGCGAACTACAGGGTGTCCCAAAAATCAAATTATGTTTCTTTCATATTCAGTTTGCGTAGTCAATGGAACGGCGAACTACAGGGTATCCCAAATATCAAATTATGTTTCTTGCATGTTTAGTTTGCGTAGACGCGGCATCCTATTGATGTACGCCTGTCTCCCTTCTTTTTTATTGCAGTCATTCTCTGTCCTTGCCTACTGACAAGGAGAGACCACGGGCGCGATAATCGCTTTTAGGATAAGACTGAGTTGATCATTTGTAGCGTATATATGTATATATGTATACTGCAATAAAAGTCTCGTTACGGTTCGTCAAAATAAGCTTTTGTTCTTGAGATGTTTCACTTTAAAGTTTTATTGTAAGCACACATAGACGATGTTGACTGTAGACGCTTTGTTTACTTTGTATCGACACCTCAGTTTACATTTCGGCGCGCATACGTAATTCCCATACAACTAGAGGGGATGATGCGTATCATAGAAGCATGGAAAAACGTAAATTCTTGGAACATCGTGCACGCGTCAAAAATGCTGAATTTTCGTCATGTTTACACATTTTTAGTCTATTCGGGAAACAAACTCTGTTTATATTTTTGAAAACCGATTTCACATTGTTTTTTGGAGCATCGTCGGAAGTGTGGATACACACGATTAACGAAGTGCCTATATTTATAACAAAACCTTAAAATTAAATATCGCAAGAACAAAAACTCATTTTGACGAATGGTATGCGGCCTTTAATTACACTACAGGGTGTCCCGAAAATGTCTCGCAATCCGGAAATGGCGGGTTCCTCGGATCGTTTGAAGCATCTTCTTCCTTTACAAAAATTTTATCCGAAGCACCGTTAACGAGTTATTAACGAAAAACAGTGACCAATAAGAATCGAGTACGGCTGACGCGAGGCGGCCCAGCCAATCAGCGCACGAAGCCCAGTTCCGCTCAATGGCTCGGTCGCCTCGCGCCAGCTAAGTTCGCCTCGCATTGGTCACTGTTTTTCGTTAATAACTCGTTAACGGTGCCTCGGAGAAAAATTTTGTAAAGGTAAAAGTTGATTCAAATGTCACTTCAAACGCCACTTTCGGATTGCGAGACATTTTTGGGACACCCTGTATACGGATTTGAAACTGAGTTTGTCCACCTGTGACACCGGAATCGTTTTCCGATGCTGTTACTTGCAGAAACGCGCGTTCCAACCACGCGTTCAATTATCGTATCGATCGATCGATCGATCGTCGCGATCTGTTACCGGTCGGTTACAATTAATATCGTCCGAACCGAGTCGGTTCCAATGATTCGACCAAAAACTGGTTCCGCAGATTGGAATCCAAACCGCACCGCTTCCAACGTTGCAATAGCCTAGGCACTAATTAACTTTGGAATACTCGAAATTCCAATACCCGGAGCACGTCGTCGAATCACCGTTAGCGCGGTTGTTGATTTTATTTTCAAGCTGGAGGATCAAAGCGAACGGACGAAATCAACTATGTAATTCGTATCTACCCAGCGTTTTAAATTCTGCACATCGAACGCGAATTAATAAACAATTGCGTAAACATGCGCGATGTAATTACGAAGCAGCGAAAGGTTAATCCTGTCTGTCAGGAGTACCGTTCGCGAAAAATCTGATCCATCTACTATAAAGATTAGCAATTCCTCGGTAACGAGGAATTTTATCTCGCGCCCGTAGCTGCAAGGAACTTGGCTCGTTATTTCGCGGCTAAGAAACGAACGGGTTTCTCGTTCGTGAAATTCTATCGGCTTCGAAGCTATTGTAAATTTTCTCTGGGCCGCGGAGCGAACGAGCTGGTTGCCCACGTGTCTTGGTTGACGCGAAACGAGTCGGGCTATGTCGGGCCGGGCCGGGCCGGCATGGAACGGCGCAACGCGGCGGCGTCACGCCTCGTAACTCGAGAAAATGCCCAGGATCGATCGGCTAACGGCCGAGACACGATTTTTCCAGGTGCGAGCACCGGTACAGAACGGAACTGGGCCACAAGGCATTATCGCTGGATTCGTTTAAACAGCCCGTACGGTTTTACGCGATCCGCGAGTGCGTACGCGATTGTCTTGCGCAGCCCTGTTACGAAAATATCCGTTTGAACGAATATTTGGATACCAGGCTATTTTTTTTTCTTCCAATAGTTCGGTATAAGTTTACAAATGACTGTCATGAAAGACAGCTCCGATCGTAAACCCTTCTTGAAACAGTAGCGCGCAAACAATTCAATAAAAAAAAGATAGAGCATATGAAAAGGAATGTAAAAATGCTACTCATTCTATTTTTGAACAATCTCCTCTGTTAATTCTCTCACACAAATACTATTATGTAACAATCGACTGTGAACAAAAATGTTGAAAGAAAATGTGCATTCTAAGCAAGAAGATACTGTTCCATATCGTGTACTTCAATTTCTTCGTTGTCCCAATTTATGGAACAGTTGACATCTGTGTTTTATATTGAATGTTCCCCTTACAAGTAATAGCAAAATTAAAAAGAAAAAAGTATTTTAGTCGTTGTACGGTAAACTAGTGCCTCTGACATCTCCAAAAAATTCAAGTAATTTAGTCCAGCCTTAGAGAAATTGTATCGTTTGAAAAAGTGTCCGAATGCTATTTAACAAAGTTGCGTGCGATGAAAGAGAATACGAACTGTATTGGGAAGCGAAGTATGTATTTGAAAAGAATACAGTAATGTCTCCCTAGTTGACGCTCAGATTGTCCAGAAAAATGGACAATTTTGGAAAAGGAGATACGATTATTCGAGCCCTGTAGCTCGTTCTTATAATTGTTGGCAAAATCGGTAACCATGAAAACGAGTTGCAAGGCTCGAATAATGGTAGCTCCTCTTCCCAAATCGTCCATTTTTGTGTGCAATCTGCGCGTCAATTAGGGAGACAATTTCCGAAGTTGTCGCTCGGTAGAACAAATTCTGCCGAACAATGAAATTCGGCAATCGATCCGAGAATCTTGAACTTGCTGGTTCCGAAAGCGTAGCTTGTTCGTGCACGGTCGAGTTTATGGTCGGGCGAAGAATTCCTCCGCTGGGGATGTGCGCAAACGCGCGAATCCTGCGCCTGTGCGCGAATCGAGCACAAGCTGCCCTGCTCTACCCTGCAGCGAATACACCTTTCCCAGTTAACCGGCAGCTAGGACATTGACATCGAGATAGACCCGGATACAAACCCCTCTCTGGGTTTCACATTTTCCAGTTATCATCGCGGTCGAACACCGTATCAACAACGAAGTCGTTGGCACACGACAGATCGTCGCGAGACGCAACGTTAACCCCTCGCGCTACGATTTCTTTCACAATTCCGTGTCGATTCCGCACTCTTCGTCCTTAACCCTTTTAGTACCGACTGAAAGATTTGGGTGCGCACAGAGCAAAAAATACCAAATCTGGTTGATGTATTGGGTTGGAAACTAAGTAATTGCCGATTTCAGTTATAGATGTCTCTCACTCCCATTTTTATGATATCCGTAAATGTTATATTATAAAATTATTATTATTATTATTATTATTATTATTATTATTATGTTACTTTTTATTATACGTATAATGCTATATTATAGCATTTTATTATATTGGGTTGGCAACTAAGTAATTGCCGATTTCAGTTATAGATGTCTCTCACTCCCATTTTTATTATATCCGTAAATGTTATATTATAAAATTATTATTATTATTATTATTATGTTATTTTTTATTATCCGTGAATGTTAGCAACTGGACAAATTGAATGCAGCGGTCAAGGAAAAGCGACCAGAATTGGCCAATCGTAAAGGTGCAATTTTCCAGCAGGACAATGCTAGGCCGCACACGTCTTTGTCCACTCGGCAAAAATTGATGAATATTGGTTGGGAATCGATGTTACACCCACCATATAGCCCTGATCTCGCGCCATCGGATTACCACTTATTTCGATCCCTGGACAACTCCCTTCGTGGTAAAACTTTTAACGATGACGACGCTGTAAAATCTCACTTAACTCAGTTTTTGGCCGAAAAGGATCGGACTTTCTACGAGCGTGGAATTTTCAAGTTGTCGGAGAGATGGCAAAAGGTCATCGAACAAAACGGAAAATACATTACAGATTAAACTTCGTTCCAAGTAAAAAAAATTTTGTATTTCATTGAACAAATCGGCAATTACTTAGTTGCCAACCCAATAGTTTGACGAAGTTTCGGAAAGAAATGTACACGAATTTCGTAAAATCTGATAATTACAAAATTAAAAAAGGAACATAAAGTAAGAACTATAACTGTTATTTATTGTAAATATTAAGAAAACTAATAATTTTCTCAAGTATAGTCGTCAACGATATATCATTGTTCGACGTTAGGAGGGTTAATACTGAAACGATCTCATTAGGAGTCACTAGTTCATTAAAGGTAAAAATGTGTGTTGCTTTATAAGGAAAACGAGACTGAATCCACTTAGACTTTTCGTTCTTTTTATTACAATGTTTGCTTGAACTAATAAATTCATTTGATTATTTTGTGTGAAAGTTTCATCGCTTTTAGAATAAAAAAAACGTGGCACCGGTCATTTTGGCCGGCAAGGTAAATTTAGTATAAACCCCTTGCCGTACTTCGATGAGTCCGACTCGTCATGAAAATTTCTAGTAATAACTTATTGAGTATAGATGTTATTTTGTTCTATAAAATTGTAATAAAATTCTAATCTCTTGTCATCAATATTTAAGCATTCAAATAAATTTAGGCACACGATAAGCATCAATTTTCTTTCCCTTCTAAAAAATTATTGCGATTGAAAAATTTCTAATTGCAGTAACTGCGGAGGAAATGGTATGTCAACGGGTTAATAACTAGTCCTAAAAAAGCAACTGACGCGTATTGCTTTATAACGACGAAAGGAATGAATGTATTCAGACCATTCGCTATTTTTAATACAATATACGTTTGTGTTATCAAAATTCGCTCATTTTCTATGAAAGAGTCTATATAATTTCAGCAACTTTAGAAGAAAAATATATGGAACCGGCCATTTTGACCGGCTCGATAGGTTCGGTGATAATTTCCACCATAGAACGAGACAATTTTTGTTTCTTGTACGTCTCCATTTACTTTCGTTCCTATATTTTAATCATTTACATCATCACGAAATCAAATTTCGTTTTGGTTTAAAAGAAATGAACAACAATATCATAAAGTCTGACTCGTTATAGTGCAAGGGGTTAAAAGTGTGCCTAAAATAATTGATAAATAAAAGCAGCGACGCCACAAGAATTCACGAATTCCAGCAGAGTAACAATTGCAACCTTTTGCGATCGATCACCATCGATCTGCAGTTACCGGGCAGGTAACAAGATCGCTGTAACAGGTGACCGATTCATCACCTCGATAGAAAAATCGCGAGAACGAAGCCACGCGGTGCGACTCTTTAACAACCTTAAATTCCAGAGTCACAAGAGATCGTTGTCGCGCTGGTATGGTGCGCTAACAGTATCGAACTTCGGCGGGAAACAAGAATTGATGGTGCGCGACGCTGCGTGCCATAGAATCGAGTTCACTGAGGCAAAAACAGTGACCGAGCCAAATCGGGTAAATCGGCACGTTGCGTAATTAACGTCGATCATTGGTCGCCCGTAGCCGAATGAAGCAGAGACAGAAGCGGACTATCGTGTATCTAGGTGGATTTTGCTCGGAGATGTCTGACGGGCTGTCGGGTGATCGTTCGCGTCCCAAAATCATGGTACTTCCGGGAAATTAGGGGTTTCTGAGATCATTTAAAGTAACTTTTTCCTTAGCGCAAACGCAATCCGCCGTTTCGTTTACGAGTTATTAACGAAAAACAGTGACCAATGAGAGACGAGATCAGCTACCGCGAGGCGGCCAAGCCAATGAGTCTCATTGACTCTCATTGGTCAGTGTGTTCTTCGTTAACAACTCGTAAACAAAGCCGCGGATTGCATTTTCGCCGAGGAAAAAGTTACTTTGAATAACCTCGGGAATTCCTTATTTCCCGGAAGTACCATAATTTTGGTACACTCTGTACAGCTTTTTTCCAAAAAAAAATTTGCCAGCATATTCTACGAATAAAAATAAGAAAAATGTTATATGAATATTTACTCTTAACCTTTTAGGTGCGGCTGAATTCTGCGCGAGGCTATTTCTCTGGACGACAGCGTCTGATGTGTACTGTACAGAGACTGATACTGTATATACAGGGTGTCCTAAAAATGTCTCGCAATCCGAAAGTGGCGGGTTCCTTGGATCATTTGAAGCAACTTTTTCATTTTCAAAAATTTTCTCCGAGGCACCGTTACCGAGTTATGAACGAAAAACAGTGACCAATGAGAGGCGAGCTCAGCTGGCGCGAGGCGACCGAGCTAACGGCGCCAGCGGTTGAGCGATCGAATCCCAGCTCAGCTGGCGTGAGGCGGCCGAGCCAATGAGCGGAACTGGGCTTCGTGCGCTGGTTGGCTGGGCCGCCTGGCGTCAACCGTACTCGATTCTTATTGGTCACTGTTTTCCGTTAATAACTCGTTAACGGTGCCTCGGAGAAAATTTTTGTAAAGGAAGAAATTGCTTCAAATGATCCGAGGAACCCGCCATTTCCGGATTGCGAGACATTTTTGGGATACCCTGTAGACTGTTGTAAATCGATGTGAAGACAAAAGAAGTATGAAACAAAGGACATGAAGACGATTATTTGGTTCAAACGATGAGCAAGTGAGCTACTAGAGCAAGCCACTATAGTGGCGCATCGTCCAGAAAGACGACATATAGTGGCGTGTCGTTCTGAAAGATGACATTTGCGAAAGCCACTATAGTGGCGCATCGTCCAGAAAGACGACATATAGTGGCGTGTCGTTCTGAAAGATGACATTTGCGAAAGCCACTATAGTGGCGCGTCGTGCCTAAGAGGTTAAATGCTCTATTAAGAACGGATAATAAAAATACAAGCTGATAACGAACAGGTGTTTCGTCGACACATCATGCGATCGCATTACCGTTATCCACGTATTTCGTGTGCTTCCATAAACTCTAGCGTTCACAATGAACAAGTTAATAATACAGTAGAATCGATTTTTCCGTGGACATAAGTTGTGCATCCGTAACAACGACATTTTGGGGAGCATGGAGTTGCAACAAAAGATATCGATCGTGAGAGCAGTCCGTTATCATTCCGTATTTTCATCGCAACTTTAAACAAAAAAAAGCATTTAAAAATCCACGTTCATACAACACGTTTCTCTTATTATTACTTGCAGAATATGCTGGTAAAGTTTCACGAATAATAAAAAAAAAACTGGGGCACAGTGTACGTGCTGGTAACCACGACTGAACGAACAGTCGCGGGCAACAGGATAGGCGGGGATGGCTTGCGCAACTGATTCAAGAGTCTCGATAAAAGCTTAATTACCGACGACGCAGCTCCGAGTAACTTCTGCTCTATAGGCCAGCGAATTTTTACGATTTTTTCAATGTCAACTCCTTATTGCTTTACGGTATTATACGCGTTTCTCAAGGTTCGGTAGAGCGCGTGCTTCGAATCGAGGATACACCGAGGACTATTATCTACTTATTTGTGCATCGACCCTTACTAGGTCTCTTCCTCAAGGACGAGCATTTCCTTACGAGGAAGACAGGCTGGCCGGAAGCCTTCCTCAGCTGGGACTTTCTTCTGAGAGGCCTCCGCCTGAGCCCCGACCTTTGTCTCTTCAGCTGGTGCTGTCTCTGAGCGGGGTGCGAGCTCTTCCGTCGTTCAAGGCCGACCCGGCAGCCAGGCTCGCCCTCCAACTCGGTGTCGGTGTCCGTGTCGGTGTCTGTGTTGGTGTCGGTGTTGGTATTGGTATCGGCGTCCGCGTCGGTATCGGTGTCGGTCGACGAGAGACACCTGTAGTAACTCGCCTCGGTCCTCGACTTCTCTTTGCCGATAAGATTGCTCTGCCCTTTGGACAGAAAACTGAGGAATTGGTTGCTGGCGAAGAAGTTCGACGTCGCTGGCTGCCAGGTGGTTCGACGGGTCAGCAGACCTCTGGTGCGCAGCTCCTCCGAAAACAGCTTGTCCTCGTTGAAGTCGCTGATCTTGGGCGGCGCGGTGCACGACGCCGGACAGGACGCGATCGTGGCCGTCACCGTGCCCAACGACGACGAGGACGTAGCCGAGAACGAGCCCAGCGAGGACGAGATCAACGAGTTCAGCGCCCCTTCGTCCCGTTTGTCGTTAAAGTCTCCGGACAGCAGCAGCTTCAGGTCGTCGAACTGGTCGTCGGATAGATTCGACGACCAATCGTCGATTCGCTCGGCCACCGAGTCTTCGGCATCCGGAAGGTACCTGATCTCCCGCCAAACTCGACGCTGACGTCGCGAACGTCTCCTCTCCGGCGGAACGAACCACACCGGGCTGTGATCGCGCGCGATCGATCGCGGCGCTTGTTGCAGTTGCTGATCCGTCTGTTGCTGCTGCAGTTGTTGCTGCTGCTGCAGCTGTTTCTGCTGTTGATGCGTCGGCTTCTTCTTCGTCCTCTGCGAGGTCCGCTTACCCTTGCGCCGAGAACTGGACCGCCTCGACGCGTTCGTTCTCTTGAAATAGCCGTCGGTGCTGACGCTCGGCGCCGGTTTCTGCGCCCGCCGGTTGAACAAGCCGTTCCTCGTGCCCCTGTAGGCCACGCGACACATTCGAAATTGCTTCCCCGTTAAATCAGCCGATCGACGAAGAATCGACGACTCTGCCGGCCCCGAGTTTACTTTCGAACGATCGCGAAACAATGTATTTGATCGAATTGGAAATTCAACGTCTCTCGCGGTCCGCAACAGAAATCCACCAAAGATCATGGCGCAAGTACTGCGTACACGTACACCGACAACAGCGCGCGCGCACACACGCTCACGCTCGCATTCCTGAATTTCCCATTCGATCAGACGGCTATTACCCTTTCCCTTGACAACTGCTACTCTCGGCCGCTGTAAAGCGACTCGACTCGACTCGACTCGATTCGGCCCACAGAATCAACTTCATCGTCGACGAGCAACTGTTAAGACGATATTCTAGTGTGAACCTTTGAAACAATCGAATTTTATTTGTATTCTTGTATCGGTGTGCAAAAGTTTGAACGCGTTTCTCGCGGAACAATGTTCTGCAAAATGGTGACTACGACGTCTCGAAAACTAGTCAATGAATTGCCAGCAAATTTTAGGTACGCGTTCAGTATGCTTATGACTGTAACCCGTTCTAAAGTGAAATTTAGATCAATGTTAAGTTTATTTTGTTGATAAACAAATGTTAATTATCGTTAATTATAATGTAATAATTATAATATATATAAATATTACTATATATAATTAATAATATAATTTTATATATATTTATAATATATATAAATATTACTATATATAATTAATAATATAATTATATATATTTATAATATATATAAATGTTACTATATATAATTAAGAATATAATTATATATAATTATAATATATATAAATATTACTATATATAATTATATATAATTATAATATAATAATTATATCGTTAATTATCGTTAATTATAATTAATAGTTAATAGAGTTGACGATGGCTGATCATTCAGAAAAATTTTCGATGTCAATATCGGTTATCGTTAACCAAACAAATTATTTTTCGTCGATAATAATTACGAACAACCGAGATGAATTCAGGTTATCGATCATCTATACTAAATGTAATGCATACTAAAAATCGAAACAAATTCCGGTCACCGTAATCGAATTAAATTTTTTTCATTAATAATAGTTATCCTAGCAAAGAGAAATTCTAATCAATACTTATACGGTAACTTTCAAAATTTCTCTTCGAACAGCTACGACGTCCGATTGCAGTTCGTTCGTAAAAAGAAAGGTCCAAAAATGAAATCTTAAACGAAACGCAGTTCACACTAGAATAGCCCCTTAAAAAAAATGGACGGATAGTAACCTAGCTGCACGAAAGCCGGCCAGCTTGGCGATCCTGAGAGAGAAGCCGAACGCGGACGAGGAGTCCTTGCTGGCCGAGGTTTTCTCCGGCGCGGAGACGGTCCTGGCGACCGTGGGCTGAGGTTTCCTCTCCTTGAGAGCGCTGTCCAGCGAACGGTGAACCGAGGGTCCCGAGGAAGCGTACGGGACCGGGTTCGAGGCCGAGACCGAAACCGGAACCGCGTCCCTCCAGATCCTGCCCAGACTGATACTGACGCTGGGAGGTCCTTCGACGGGGTGCTGCTCCTGCGTCTGCAGAATCTCCTGCTCGGCTTTGATCTGCTCCTCGATCTTCTCGGTGGAACCTCGGAGCGGGCAGCTCCAGCAGTTCGGTTTCGAGGACAGCACGGGCGACGCCTCCAGTTCGAGGACCTTGAGGTCCTCGGCCACGTGATCGGCGGCCTCGCTCGGCTTCCGAACCTTGCCGCAGAGTTTGTTCTTCCTTTGCGCCGGGTGCTGCTTGTTCTGCTGCAAATCCTCCGTTAGTTTCTCCTTCGAAGACGAGCCGACACCCTGCAACCACTCGTCGTAGCTGATCGACTCGCGGCTCAGCGTGTCATCCTGCAGCTTCTTCGATTTCTGCTCCTTGATCGCGTCGTCTCTGATCACGATGCTCCTCGGCTCCTTCTCGATGATCTCCTCCTTGACGATGGTGCCCTTGCACAACGGTTTCTCCTTCGAGTTCGCGTCGATCGCAGGCGGAACCGCCGGCTCCACGCTCTTCTGAAGCTTGTTCCGTCGCTTGCCGCGGTCCAAATAACTCTTCCTGATCGATATCCGCTTGAAGGACTCGCTGCGCTTGAAGGACGGCTCGTTACGGTCCTTCTTGCGGCCGACGAGCCTCCTCAAGTTCTCGAAGGACAGCGGCCTCATGGGTTTGGCCCTGCGTTCACCGAACGAGTTTCTCTCGCATTTTCGAGCATTCCTTTTACCGTTCCACGCGTCGCCGAGGCTTTTTTCCCCTCGAGTAGAAAATGATCTCGCTCTTCTTCTCACCTTCTTTCCAAAAAGAATCACTCTCGGTTTTTCGATGGTCTAGAGGATATCATCGTTCTATCGGAGATCCCCGTTCCCGTTTAGCTCTACGTAAAAAAAAAACTATCGGTTTAAGATATTTCCTCGAGGACTCCTCGAGGATCGAGAACCGATTCTCCAAAGCCCTTCGAACAAGCCACGCGCGTCCACCTCGATCGAAAAGTCCTTCCAAGGAGAGAGATCTGCCTAGCTCGCTCTCCGCATTGGCTCTCCGAGCTCCGTCTCCCTCCGATCCATCGGTATATCGGCGGTCGTTCCTTTCCTCGGGGGCTCTCGATCTCGGCGAGCGAGCACGCTTGCGCGTTTCTGAGATCTTAAGGTGCAACACCGAGGCCTTCGAGTCGCGAATCACCGTGGCTTTCCTTTTTCGACGTGCCGTAGCCGTAGCCGCGTCCGCGTCGTCCCTCCTCCATTCTCCTCATCGCCCTTCTCCTCCCTTGTCCCTGTCCTGCGACCGACCGGGATATTCCTTCGGCAAAAAGCGATTCGGCACTCGAATGCTGACGCTCGCGCTTATGCTCGCGCTTATGCTCGTGCCGGTGTGCTCGCAACGACGCTGCATGGAAAATAATATTACGTCGTGACCAGCTCAACCGGCGTCGACGTTGCAGCCGCTTAGGCGTGGAATACGCCTTGTTTCCGCGTGTCCTGGTATCGCTGTTCAATGGACACCGGCGTAGATCTGGCTTTAATTCGAGTCCAGGATGTCCAGATCCTGGTCCCGCGTTCTCGTTTCGAGCTGCAGGATATTTTCGGAGGTTCTCGAAGACCAGAAGAATCGACGAGCGTTTGTTGTGGTCGTTCCAACGGACCGGCTGCAGTCAACTTTCTCGAAGAGCAGCGCGCGATACCGTTCTCCCCGTGCACGCGCCTCCTACGAAACTATCTCGTGATCGCTGAGAAGATCTTGGACGATACTTTCTCCGCCCTCGAACGATTACGACACCGATTTCACCCTCCCCTTGTCCCGCCGCCGTTGAATGCCGGCGTTGTTGTATTTATTATTTCGAGCCGGCGCGGAACACCGCGGAACAACGCGAAACTTGTTCGAAACTCCCGGGAACCGGAACACTGCCGCCGTCCGCGTACTCTCCTTATCGGGCACGACACCAAAACCATCGGATCGAAAATCTGCCGCGAAGTTGCACGATACACGTTGCACGTTGCACCATCACGAAATCATCGGAACGCGACGGATAATCGCCGCTACGTACGGTTGCGCGTTTTCATTTTTCACGCGACGCACACTGCCGCGGCAATATTTCCTTGCTCGTGCACCACCCAACTACCGTCTCAACTGTGCACGCGAATCCTATAGGGCACTAGGGTGTCACTGGAATCGCAAGAAATCACGTCACACAACACCGCTCGCCGCTCGAAGGACGGAGGTGGGAGGGGGGGCTAGGGTGAACGCGATCCACCGCCACTTTTTGGGAAAAATTACGCTGGATTTTTCTCAGTTTCCGGTTCCTCCGTGATAATGCAATTTTTATGTTTTTTTGTAGCGCTGGTAGGTCACTAAACGTTATCGGAACAGATCAACGCTATTGCATTTACGTGTTTCTGTATTTTCTTTTTTTCGATTTTGCAGTAATTTCATTTTTAAGACGCTCCGTATAGAATAAAACGATTTCGTATCACTTGGATTCAAAGCGAGGCAAATTAATTTCAAGAATACGCTCGCGTTTACGAGTTTTTAATCAGGATAATGAACAACTTCCAGGCGCCGTAATAATGAAGGGATGGGTCTTTAACGATCAACGATTCCGTCATCCGGAACCAGAAACAATTTCGAATTTCTAGCGGAAGCTTTGAGCGAGAAGTCCGGCAACGGAAACGACGGTTCGCAAATGAAGCGCGTATATTTCAAGCGACTTCAAATCTTATGTTTTACCAAGACACCAGCTGCGCGGAACCGATTCGCGTTCGTCAAAGACAACAAGTCGGTTACAGAAGCGTACAAAAAATCAGGACCGTCTTGAGATCGAGGATGATATTCTGTCATAATTATAGTCGACGTTTTCGTCGACTTGTCGCGTAAACAACGGAAGCTCGATGTCGCCTCGGCTTCGTTCCTGGTCGAAGGTGACGAAGACCACAGGTCGCGTAACACCCGCGCAGATTCCAGCGAACCTTTGCTACAACCCGGGCAAAGAACCCAGCATCGTTGTCGAACCAACGCTGTTCTCGCGACAAAAATCGCGTCCAGAGAAACGGTGTTGCGAATGAATTTACACGAATAAACAGGCGTTGCAGCTATTATTACAACGCGCGCAATAGATAACGATCTAGAGTACAACTTGCGTTCTCTTCAAAGCGTGACTCGTTATTTTTCCAATCGCGGATTACGGTAAATATTGGAATAATTTCACCTCGCATCGCGAGCAGCATTACGTCGGAGCGATACCGAGTGTTGTAAATCTACGTTCTGTCGCGTTTTGTGTTCCCATGAATTTACACGATCGACGCGAACAACGCGGTGATATCCGTGGTCTCTCGAAGGTTCCGCGATCGAAACCGACCGAAACAACAATTTCGATCTTGTCGAAGCGAAGCACAGCGGTCCGTCCGGCTCCACAGAAACACAGGTCCAAGAGAGCTCTCGCCGGGTTCTCCACCTACCTGCCGCGTTCCACGGAAACCCCTCTATCTCGCGTAATTCCCGGTCGAGGGAGAGTCGCACTGGTTACAACAAACAGGACCTCTTTCCCTTCGATCGCGCTCACGCGACTCCAAGGTCTTCGAGTTCTCGGAAGATCGCGGCGCGCGCGCGGAGAAGGCGTATCCTTCGCGACACTCGGCCCACCACGAATCCGTATCATTCCATTACGGATCGACCTGAATCGGCCGGCGCGCGGATCGTTCTTTCAAATAGAAGTCGCCGGTTGTTCGCGAGCGTCGAGCACAAGAACCAAGAAGAAGCACCACCAACAGACGTTCAGTCTGTAAAGAGGATCGAATCGAATCGAATCGAAAGACTGGTTGTAAAACTGAAACAGCGTCACCTCGGTGGTTGGGAGTTCGGCAAAAGGGGAGAACCAGGGGGAAGAAGCTATGCTACGAGGCGAGGCGAGGCGAGGCGAGTCGGTGGCGGTGGGTCGCGTCGTCGGCGCGGCGCGTACTCGAGGCACGAGGCGCGAACCGTCGCGAGTCGTCGCGACGCGAATCCACCCTTCGAGGCTGGTCGGAGGATCAGGGGGAGCAGCGAGACACGGTAGACGGCAAGCGGCTGGCGAGAAGCTCGTGGTCGGCCAGTGGCAGCGAGCAGCGACGAGCAGCCAGCCGGGCGGTCCCCTCGTCTCTCGCGAGGAGAAAAACTCTCGTAGTGCGCGTAGCTGAAGTCGCGTCGAATCACTGGCATTTCGCGAGCTCTCGACGCTGCACCTCTCCCTGACTCACGAGACGAGAACCACCACGGACCCCGACCAAACACGCCGACCGAGCCGAGCGAGCCGCGGAGAGGGAGCGAGACGGACGGCGAGCGGGCGAGAGACGGGGCGAGAGGGGGAGGCGAAAGAGAGAGGGAGAAGAGGCGGCGGAGGCCCGAGAAGCGGGTACCGCGAATAAAAGTCACGCCGCGAGACGAGGACGGAGCGAACCGCGGCTCGAGATTCGAGGAGAGGGGCCGGGGAGTGGTGGTGGTATGCCGTCCGTCCACTCTCGCCTGCACACACAACGATCTCCAGGGCTCTCCGCTTCGCTCGCAGCATCCCATTCTCCTTCCCTTCCACGCTGTTTCCCTCCTCCCGGCTCCGCGGCTCCCCCCTTCTCCACCGAACGTTCTCTCCAGCCTTTCCCGCGTCCTCTTCTATCGCTGCCACGAGGCGCGCCGAGTCTCTCTCGCTTTCTTCGCATCTCCACGTTTCTCCCTACTTCTACTCTGCTCAACCGCCTCCACCGATTCTTCTCTTTTCCCGCTGCCCTTAACTGCTCCACACCGTCCCTCTCCCTCGCCCTTGTTCCTCTCGCTCCGTCTCTCGGTTTCGGGTTCGGTTTGTTCGGGTTGTCCGCGTACAGAGCCGAGCATTAGTCCGACAACAATTCGAACAATTTTTCGAACGAATTTCTCATCGGATGATCTTTGAACAAATGCTGCGCGAATAAACGAGGTTACTCGAAGATAACGAGTAACGTTTTTTTATTCGAACAAGTCGAAACCTGTACCAAAGAGAGCTGGTCAAAAATAGCGCAAGAACAGTCGAGTTGTAGAAAACTAATTCGAAGGTCTCATTATGGTGCAATAAATTACAGTTTATAGTTTTCGGTGTTACATAAGGAAGCGTGTAAACTGGGGACCATCCAAAGCCGACAGGCGAGGATTAAGAGAATAAGTAAATAAAATATGCGCACAAGTCCCCCCCGGATCTCGTGCCATAATACATTACAACCACAAAGTCGCCCATGGGGCTCGGTCTTCGGAGACGCAAGATCTTAGTCCGGCACCTACCGATGTCGCGTTTATTCATCGTTTAGCTCCTCCGAATAACGAATAATTTTTCTCCGAATGATGCTGCAGACTTATTCGTGAATAACGAATGATTTTTCCTCGAACGAAGTCGTTGCTCGTTATCCACGAATAAATCCGGAGGAACGTATCGATTATTCGTTACTCGTTATCCGCGAATAAATCTGAAGGAATGTATCAATTATTCGTTGCTCGAGTAAAATTTGCCCAACTCTGTCCGCGAGCCGAAGAGACTCCACTTGCTCTCGAACCACGGTTATACGTCGCTCTGTCTTCGTCTCCGCGTCTCCGTCTTCGTCGTGGTCGATCGCGAGACCACTCTACGCTGCCTCCACCCATGAGGCCTTGCCTTGCCTTGGCTTGGCTTGGCTTGCATCGCCTCGCTTTGCCTTCCCTTGCGCGTTGCCCTGCCTCGCCTTTGCCATGCCTTCTCGCGGAGATCCGTGAATCGGACGGAGAATCCTCTAGCGATGGGTGTGACGCCCTCGCGTGTACTCGCGGACAAGGAATGCATGTTCGTTCCCGCCGAACACTTCTCGATTTTTTTTGGAATTTTATGGACACGATCGGGCGCGTATCGGTGGTACGCGATGGATTCTAAATCCTCTAAATCGTTCGAACGGTGTTGGTAGATAGACGACCGTCGAACGGACGCATAAACCCGTGCTTTTACGGGCATAACCTGCGCTATGCGGTAGGTACGCGTTAACGTTTTACCGCGCACTTAAGACATCCGATTGGACTGACCGAGGCTTAACTCTTATTGTTGGTTACAGGTGAGGAAACGATGCCGAGTTAACGTTTAATGTTTACAGGCGATTGCCAACCACGCGGAGGCTATAGATATATAAGAAGACGCCGAGCTGTTTGCAACAAGGTTCCGCGAAACCACGATACGACGCTGTACACCACGCTCTTGCCTGTGTGTACCACCTTTTACGAGGGCTCTGACCTTCGCAGAATTAGCGGATTAATAAGGATCAACGAGCAACGAGTTCAATTTCATTTTGACTAGCTCCGGCAGAAGGTCGCAACAACGACCGCCGATCCCACGAACAGCTTCGAACGCGGTCGAACCACTTGGACAAAGGTATTTCATCGAGCAATCTATTTATTGGGTTGAGGAATATAAGTTCGTAGCGTTTTTATATTTTCTTTTATTTTATTTTATTTTATTTTTATTTTATTTTTATTTTTCTTTGCTGTTTAACAAAGTGTATAATATTCATTCGATAGAGCTCTTTCTGCTCTAAAAAACTGTGCTAATCGTCTTTTTGAGTAATTTAATGTTTTATTACTTTCGAGGCTTAGAAATGGAATATCCAGGAGGTAAAAAGCAACATTTTCGACACCTTTTCTTCTTTGCTTTTCATCGAGGCCAAAAAGCTGCCAAAACAGTCCGGAACATTTGCAACGTATTCGGAGAAGGTGTCATAGGCGAATCTACAACATGGAAATGGTTTGCGAAGTTCAAAAATGGCGATTTTGACGTCGACGACACAACCCGCAGCGGAAGACCTTCTGAATTCGACGAAGAGCGTCTCAAAGCACTTTTGAAGGAGGACGGTCACCAAACAAGTCGTGAATTG